CATCTAGATATTTACGCATCAGAACATGGTCTCAATATTTTGAGATTACCACCTCACCATTGCCAATATAATGCCATAGAAATGGTGTGGTCAGAGGTTGAAAGGATTTATGACGCCGAAATCATCAAAACTAAATCATCCCCGGGAGATGTGATATTGGTCTGGTCAAAGGCTTCAGAAGCTGTGGGTGTGGAGCATTGGAGAAATTATGTACGGCATACAGAAAAAGTGATATTTTCGGCATGAGAGACGGAGAAATGCATAGGTGCCTCCAATATTGAACCTGTCGTGATAACTTTCAATTCAGATGAGAACGATACGTCATCGGAGGAAGGGTCAATGCGTTCAAATGAAAATGTTTGTTTTTGAAAAATGTTACTTAATGAAAAATTTATATTAAATCAAGTTGATGTTGACGAGGAATTATAATTCGAAATATAATTCATGTGAGTTATACTACTTACTAACTTTCTTGCAGAAAGCCAAAGACAAAACATTTGTTCGAAAGAATTCCATGTTGATAATGGATACAGAGTGTTTTCCGAAACCTCTAGTTGATATGGAGACATCTTATTTCACGAAGTGTCACTGACTATCAGCTAAAAAAATTCTTTCAGGTCTGAAAATAACTTTTAAACACTTCGAGGCAAAGAAAAATCTCCACGCCCAGTCATCCACTGATACTTTTATATCTCTATAATTTATAATAAAATCATTTCTCAGAGAAAAGGGCATAAAAATATTTCACTCGATTCTATACTGGCCTCAGATGAACGGAGAAGTAGAACGACAGAATAGGGACATCCTCAAACGCTTTAAGATAAGTCAAGGCCTTGAAATGAATTGGCAAGAGGAGCTTGTAAATTATCTCATGATGTACAATAGTACACCACACGGAACTACTGGAAATTATTGTGAATTATTTTTTCGTCGCCAGTTAAAGGACAAAATTCCTTCTGCCTCAGATACCCAACATAGCGTTCTTGACGATGAAATAATCGACAAAGACCGAGTACAAAAAGAAAAGGGTAGGAAAAATGAAGACAGAAAACGAAAAGCAATAGATGAAAATGACATCAACATTGGCGATGAAGTTTATCACAAAAATTTAATCAGGCCAAACAAGGTCACTCCATATTATGACTCACCCCCCCACACAAAATTAAAGAAAAACGGGGCGGGGATATCTTAGTCCAAAATTCTGAAACGGGTCAGGAACTAAGGCAAAATATTGTTCACCTTAAAAAGATAGAGGGTCGATGGCAAGTACAAAGTAGGGATGACAATAAAGTCAACCAACAATACCATTTGAAATAAAGCTATTCCTTTCCAGATTGCAAAGGACCAAACGCTCCTTACCTCTTTTAACATCCGATGAAGAATCAGCATAATAAAATCATTAATTGAATTAGGTTTTCATGTGTATCTATTCACCATTGTCATAGTTATTAAACGAATAGCATTCTTAGTTTAGGAATTAGATCTTAGATCTTATGTTTACCTATGTATTATTATTGTTGTTGGAGATATTGATGTTTGTTGATTATTTTGAATCAGTTTAGTTATTCGTAATTCAGGTTTAAAACAATGGAAGAGATGTGATGTATCGAACTGGGCGAAGAATTGCTATGATGATTCAGTATATTGATTTTCGTTCATTGCTCGTACATGTATTGAATTGAACAGTAATGAAATGAAAACGATGGGATTGTGATGACATATATTTGATTCATTTCTAGAATGAATAACACGACAGGCATTCAAAAATCTTTTGTTACAAATATCCATATGAAAACCAGAAACTCAAAATATACGGTGAGTTCAGTTAACTGCACTCAATGAACAACAGGAAGGTTTTCCTCGAATGCTCTCTGTGGATAGGAGGGAGGTTGATGGCCAAATTCACGAGCAATTGCTTCAACAGCTCCAGCAGCCCCTTCAGCGGAGAAGCTTGGAGTTCCAGACACTTCCGCAACGGTTCCTTGTATTACTAAGGCATAGGAGAAAGAAGCTACTCCAAGAAGAAGGAAAAGGAAAATCTGAAAATTAATTCTAGGTAATTCAAATGAAGTAATCGTGTTCATTATTATTCGAATATAGATTTAAAACTATCGACTCGATTCTGAATTTGACAATATTACATAAACTTCACAGTTTCATCATGTATACGATTGATTCAGACCAAATTCTAGGCGCCATTCAGGATGATTCATGACATTCAACTTCAATGCGCAAGTAATTCAGTTTAGTTACTATATAAATCGCGGACTTCATTCTGATTGCGTCAACTTCTAATACTTATCAGAAGATTGTCAATGAACTGAGTGAAAGTGTCACAAAAATATGGAGTTTCAATTCGATTTCTTCGGGAAAAGAAATAACTGTCTCTATTTTTCATTGAATCCTGGTAGTAGAGATCCATACTCGATTCTCAAGTTTATTTTATTTCAATTCGAACCTACGGTTCCGATGCAATATGAAGTGGAATGAAAATCTCAACATAGTTCCTCATCTTGTCGTTTGTCTACAAAATGGAATAAGGTGAAATAATGATCAAACATGCTATATACAGGACTTTCAGATTTGGTGGTGTGCATGCGAAGTGGCGTATCTTCAGATCTATGATATATGACACCAACAAATCTCTTTGAATTCTTTGAATCTGTAGTATACAGAGGAAAAAAACAATCTTGAAGGATATATTTCGATAAGATATATTTTCCTAGTAAACTTTCAAATTGAATAAACACTTTTCCATAGTAGAGTCACTGAATGGTATTATTTAGATGAGAGTTCGGACACAGAAATGACAATTGGTTGTGTTCTTGCATGTTCTCATTTATTCAGTCACTTAACTTGCATTGTGACAAGAGCACCAAAGTTGTACCGCGCTATTTTATTCGAAATTGTTTGAATTTGAAAATACATTTCATGAACGTCGAGAAGGAAAATATCTTGGTGTGTAATGAATTGTGGGCATTCTGAAGAGAATGGATTTCATTCATTCAATTTTCCAAAGGATAACCATTCTCATATGGAAGAAAATTATGTAACGGCCTGGATGGAGAATAAATTTGAAGACATTTGAGATCTATTGGAGAGATTCTGCTATTTCATCTATTCCCAAAACAGAAATATCATAAAGAAAGAGGAATAGATTGCAAAACTATGTAATGAAATCGAAAATTTGAGAAGAAAAGTGAGCAAATCAAGTAAATTGCAAAGTAATATACACTGTGTTCAAGATAAGGATGTCTATCATAAAAATCATTTTCATTGTCTTCTGACGTCAATTAAAGTGATATAGGAAATCAGAAGACACTTGAACATTCTCATTTTTTGAGCTTCACCATATATCGCGTTGAGACAGCTGTACCCCATGATAGACATCCCTATCTTGAACTCATGGTATATATCACTGAATCACGTTTTCAATACCGACCGAACTATCTATATAAGTATATTCATATATATGTTTCTATTTTGTCATCAAAATGTCACATGCGTTCTTCTAATTTTTGTAACTGCTGTTCTGCGAAAAGTGCCTTAAAGATTGGAGTGGGTGTTGATACCCTATTCCTATTTTCCATCTATAGCTACGATTGATTTGACAACAAAATTTCACCTCTGAAATCGTATCTGACAATCAGGCGCTATCAGAGAAATTGAAAAGACAAAGAGCAGAATATATGTCTAATTATTTTATTCACTCAAGCACTGTAATTTGGAAAATAGAAAAGGACAGAACTTCAGCTGTGTCCGAATTCTCATCTACTTATACCATCCAGTGACATTATTTCATCTTTGTTTTCTATTTGAAAAATACAGACCTCCTTCATTGCACATTTTTGAACACCAATTTTCAATATTTGCGATATATTTTCTTACAAACATTGTGTTTCTTTATAATCGAACTATAATCATTGGAAACTGAAGATTTATTCTCATTATAGCCCAGTAATATCATCATTCATTTCTTATAGAAAGCATATACGATACACCAGGTTAATGGTGAGAAATCAAGGCAACTCTGTTCTCAGTAGCAATAAAACTCCTGTACGAATTCACCACATTTAACTCAAATGAGAATTCTTCCTGCTATAATAATAATCATAGAGTGATTCTGAAAGTATTGCTGATGGTGGTTGAAAATTGCTGAAGAAATTCAGTCCCATGTTCTAATCCCTTGAAATGCACTGAAAATTCTTGAAAATATAGGTCCGCACGCAAAGTTATGTATAATAAATGTATAATATAATATACATGGAATACTTGAGGGATATTGAGGGAATGTTCTGAACGAATGAGAAAAAAATAGTGGACCTAGCCCTCATGAAGAGTTAATCGTAGACACTTTTTTCGGGCTTTCTGCCCACATAGGCTGGATTCTGTTTGTTGTCGTTATTTTGTTGTTATGTCTTCCTCCAAGTGTTGCCTATTTTGTGCACTTTTTTCACCGTAATGATAAGAGCCAAAATCCCGAAACAAGTGTCTACGGTTAATTCTTTACAAGGGATATGTCCACAATTTTCTTCTCAGTCGTATAAATACTCAATACATATTATAATAATTCCCTCACAGTTTCGATATCCCATTGATACATAGATACATAGAGTCAAATCTGAACACAGTTACATATGAATATATGTAACTGTGTTCAGATGAGATGATTAGCGGGACACGTTGCTACGTGAAGGCGAAGAAAAGTTGTTAATTTGCCCCAAAATTGTCGATCTAAAAGTTACATTTCTTTGTGCAATAGTTGCAATAAGTTCTGGAGGTGCTGAAAAGTGAATAAGAAAAGTAAAATTTCATTTGATAATGAGGAATTACCTAGGAAAACTATTATAATTCACATATATAAATAGTTATCAAAAACCAAGGAACAAAAAAAAACGAGGTAAAAAGTAGGCCTGAGTGGTTTACTGATAACGCGGAAACGCAGAACTTTAGCAAGCAAATTACAAGCAGGGTTGCCAGATCATTTTATTATAGGAATAATGACGAAAAAGAAGTTGGTTGATTGTAAAGGGTGCAAAATTAATATAACAAAAACGCAGAGCTGTATGAGATGTAATGGAGACTGTCAGGGATGGTTTCACAAAAAGTGCACAAAACTCAACAACGAAGATTATGATATTTTTTGTGATAAAAAATCAAATAAGAAGTGGATCTGTAACAGCTGCGAAGAATCTTCATCTTCATCTGAAAATGAAGATAGTCATGATGAAAGTAATTTGGAAGAAATGAGTGGAAAATTAATAAATAATAATGGAAATAAGAAGAGAAATTCCAGTGCTAGTAAAATCAGAGGAAGTGGGACTATTGAGAAGAATGCAGATCCTTCTAATAGAGAACTCATGCAATTCATGACTAAAAAATTCTCTGATTTGGAAGAATCTGTGAAATTCAATGCAGAAGTAATGGATGAGCTGCAGGCATCTATAAAAGCCTTAACTAAAGAAAATGCAGTATTAAGGAAAGAGCAAAAAGTTTTCAAAAGCAGGCTGGAGGATCTTGAAGTAAAGCTGAATAACCTCAACTATTTGGCTGAAAAGGAGGAAGTGGAACAGAAAAACAAAAATGTTGTTGTTTTTGGCCTCATGGGTGGAGACACAGCCAAAGATGACATTAAGAAAATATTACAAAAACTGGATGCTAGGATTGATGAGGGTGATTACAATCTACAGACACTACCTAGTAAGGAAACTAGAAAACCAGTCTTAGTAAAGCTGAAGGACAAAACGAGCAGAGATAGATTACTAGAAGTGATGAAAAACAAGAAAATAAATACTCTCCACTGTGGAATTTCTGGAGAGGACAAACGTATCTACATAAATGAGGATCTGCCAAGGAGTGTTAGACTATTATTAAATAAAGCTAAAAGTCTCAAAAGTCATAATTTCAAATATGTATGGTGTAAAAATGGGACTGTTTATGCTAGAAAAGATGAGGGAGAAAGGTTTATAAGAATAAAGAATTCTCTACAAGTCGATTCTATCATAAACTCCTAAATTAATTACTTTTTGTTGATTTATTTTGTATGTATAATATTTACCATAATGGCGAATACAATGAACTCGGATAAGCAAAACTTGAAACACCTGAAAATTGGTCATGTTAATGTCCGTTCCTTTATTCCGGCTAAAAATGATATCGTATCTTTATTAGATAAATATAATTTAGATATTTTAGGCATCACAGAAACCTGGTTGAATGACAAAACGATGAAGGATCAAATTAATATAAAAAACTATGTTTTTTTTAGAGTTGACAGACATGATAGAAAAGGAGGTGGTGTGGGTATACTTATCAGATCTACCATAATCAAGGCAAGTGTAGTAGAAGAATGTTCTTTTATAACAAAAGAGTTGGAGCAAATTTGGTTGACTTTGAAATTTTCGAATATAAGATATGCTTGTGGTATAATCTATCGTCCACCTGGTCATAATGTAAGAGAGGCTCTTAGTACCTTAGAGAATGCAATTGCTTGTATGCTTCCCAGATCTGATGAAATAATACTTATGGGTGACTTGAATGTTAATCTGCTTAGACCTAATAGAGCAACTCAGCAGCTTATTGATTTATTAGAATCATTTAACTTAGAGCAACTGGTGAAGCAACCTACGCGATTGACAAATGTTGCTTCCTCATTACTTGATATTATTTGTATTAGTAATAAACACTTGGTGATAAATGATATTCAACATGTAGACCTGCATTCTATAACTGATCATCAACTTATATTTTGTGAACTGGAAACTAGAGTTACTAAGGAAAAAGATAAATTCAAATGTTATAGAGATTATTGTAATTTCAACATAGATAGTTTTAATAATGATCTAACATCTTTTAACTGGCAACAAATATTTTATACAGATAATATTGATAATAAAGTTGATATTCTAACAAACCAAATCAAAAATTTATTTGACAAGCATGCTCCGTACAAAAGAAAAAGGATCACTAAGCCTAAAGCACCCTGGATAACTGATAGATTTCGAGTAATGAAGTCTGACAGGAATAAGTTACTGAGTAAATTCAGAAGAACAAGGGATCCTGAGGATTGGAAAGCATACAAGCAAATTAGAAACCTCTGTACAATGACAATGAGAAATGAAAAACGAATATATTTAGATCAGATAAGCAGAAACGAAAACAGTAGGAACTTATGGAGTGCTTTGAAACGTTTGAATGTATATACCAATAAAAATACTGATGCTATTCCAGAACATCTACTTGACCCTGATCAAATAAATGATTATTTTATTGATTCTGTTACGAATTTGCAATGTCAAGTGGATCCTGCTTTAGTTGATAGTTATAATAATGAGAAATTTCTAGGTGCAATCGAAAGCGAATTGCAAGTCGTCTCGGAGAATGATGTAGTGATTGCAATAACTAAGATCAAGTCGAACTCAGCAGGCTCAGATGGAATAACTCTAGATATGTTGAAACTATGTTTACCAAGCATATTGCCGTATTTAACACATATTTTTAATTGTTGTTTGACAGATAGCTATTTCCCACTGAATTGGAGAGTTGCTTGTATAGTTCCATTGCCAAAAGTGAATAGCCCGAAACATATTTCTGATTTGAGGCCAATAAGTAAGCTATCTGTATTGTCCAAGGTTTTGGAAAAATTGATATATTTGCAAATGGTACAGTTTCTATCAAACAATAAGTTATTTCCAGAAAATCAATCTGGTTTTAGGAGTGCTCACAGTACAGTTACTGCATTGACCAAAATGTTGGATGATATCATACGAGCAATAGATGAGGGGAAAATTACAACACTAGTTCTATTAGACTATAGTAAGGCGTTTGACACTTTAGGCAGAGAACTCCTTTTGGCTAAAATTAACTATTATGGCTTTTCTAATAGGGTAGTCAAACTATTACGGAGCTATCTTTCTCATAGGAGCCAATATGTGTTAATTGACAATGTGCAGTCCAGCTCTAGATTAGTTGATAAAGGTGTACCGCAGGGCTCAATACTCGGACCTCTTCTATTTTTAATATATACTATGGACCTCAATAGGAATTCTGTAAATTGTACAATTGATCAGTTTGCTGACGACACCCAAGTTTATAAAAGTTTCCTTGCTGATGAGTTGAATACTGCATGTTTAGATATAAATCAAACTTTGGAGAACATAGTTGCATACTCTAATAAGCATGGGCTGAAGATTAACCCAAAGAAGACCCAAGCTATATGTTTTGGTAATGTATCAGTAGAGGTGAAATCTGATTTGAAAATTGAAATTGCTACTGTTAGAATAGAGCCCTGTGATGTAGTGAAAAGTCTAGGAATTCTTATTGATTGTAAGCTGAGATTCAAGGCACAGGTTAAATCTATTGTTAGTAAGTGTTACTCTTCATTGAAGAATCTATATCGCAGTAGGTCTTTCATCAATGTACCCTTGAGAAAGCAACTATGTGAATCACTAGTATTGAGTCATACTAACTATGCTGATTTAGTATATGGTCCATGCTTGGATGCAGTTTCATCAGCGAGAATTCAAAGGATTCAGAATTCCTGTATCAGATTCATTTACTCACTAAGAACCAGAGACCACATTTCTCATAAACTTAGAGAATTGGGATGGCTCAATATGTTCAATAGGCGTAAATTGCATATTGCCTGCATGGTTCACAAAGTATTAAAAGAAAAAAATCCTATTTACATTCATCATCGATTAACATTCACTTCGGAAATTCATAATCGTTCCACTCGAAATACAGGTCTTCTCGTGATGCCTATGCATAGAACAGCTTTATATGGGAGATGCTTCTCCTATAATGCAGTTAAAATATACAATTCTCTCCCACAAGAGCTCAAGAATAAATCAATGTTTCACTTCAAAAATTCAACAAAATTATTTTTCTTTCGCTAATAGACCGTATTTTAGAATAGATAATAATGTTATACTTATATTTAGTAGATAAGTTAGTTTTATATTCAAGCTACTATGTAGGTTGTTATTTAAATCTAATGTAATATGGTACTCGGTTAAGTAGAACAGCTTTGCTGGACTTCGCCGAGGATATTAAAAATAAAGCCCCTATTATTATTATTATTATTATTATAAACAAAAACTCACCATTGTCCGCATCTTGTTTTCGTGATGACCTATGTTGTCAATGCTAAGATTGATTCACAAATCTGATTCACATCTGGTGAAATTAGCTTTTATATTCTCTTTGTGATAGGTAATTTTGAAACTGTTAGCATACTCAAAATCCAATCAGGTACCTACCTCATCACCAAACTAATGAGTAGGTCAGTTACTATTTAATTCAAAAATAATTTACTTTCACAAAGTTATCAACGATAAGTTCATATCGGCTAATGAGGCTGGATTGAATCTACAGTGGATATTCTGTTGTAATACCGAATTGTAATACCGAATTCAATTGATACAATGTCGGCACCTGTAACTGTATAATTTGAATATCAGAAATGCTACTCTTAATTATTTTGGAGATTGTATCAGTTGAGATGTATCATATATGAAGGTAGGTGAATGTTAGTATATCTATGGATAATTCGAAGATGAATCCCAAAGTCATTCCCACTGAGATCAATCACGCATGTACATATGTCAGGCTCATGTAAGCCCATCATCAGCCGATTACAATATTGACTATTCTAGAAAAACCAACAATGACTCATGATATTTGGACGCAATGGTTATTTACCCACATAGGTATGGAAAATATGATTTTCAAATAATTTAGAGAATGAATGGGCAAAACCTAGACGTGTGCACCATGATCTGAAATAAAATGAGCTCATGATAAGCTGCTACAAGAAGAGTACTTAATTGAAGAAGACTCACTGTCTATATTTTCCAATATGTTCTTCACATGAGAGTATTGAAAATCAAAAAAGGGTCGGTTCGCTATTTCATGAGGGCTCACAAGCCCTTGAAGTTCCCAAGGTGGCAATCAAACATCCAATATATCAAACTAAAATAGTTTGATGAAGTATCAAGGTAACCCTAATAAATGTTGTAGATCATGCACGTACAAAGGAACCAGGAAGAATTAAAGTTATCAAAAATCACATGACAGGCAACAAGTTAGTGTCATGTCAACTGGATCATGGAACACGAATCTCAATATATTGGGAACGATTTATACCGGGTGTCCCAGATCTTGTCATACAGTCATCTCAGAGTCAACTTTTGTCGAACTACCCCTGACAGCCACTCCCAACTTCAATGACTCAAAATACATCCTATACATTTTCTTGTGGTTTATTGTTTTTTATTATCATGACTCCATTCCAAAAATAAACAAAATACCAGAACATTATTTTTTCACAATGAGATAATGATGATGATTATCACAGATTATCTGCAAGTTGTTTACCGTCTCGTATAGGTCGGGTATTTTTCCATCATGCTGGAAGACAGCTAGAGTCCAACCAATCCCCAAAAAAGGGAACAAGAACCTGCCCAACAGACCCATTGGACCATTGCCCTGTTATCAGTAATCTCCAAAGTGATGGAGGAAGCCATCAATATCGAGCTTATTATCAAATATCTGGAGAGCTCAGGAATCATCAATGATAGACAATACGGCTTTCGCCACCGAAGATCTACTGGAGATCTACTTACCTACGTCACCCATTTATGGCAAGCTTCATTAGAAAAACACGGAGAATCTCTAGCTGTCGCGTTGAACATATCGAAAGCATTCGACCGTGTTTGGCACGGAGGACTGTGACGGCGTATTAATATCAATGTTTATGTACACATTGTTTCTGTTTGAATCTGAAATATTCGATTATCTGTAACAAGGACTCCTCCATAAACTACCATCATTCGGCTTACCACCTCAGCTATCTCTTATCGAGTTTTCTTTCAGGCAGATCGCTTCACGTGGTGGTGGATGGTGTATCGTCTGATACCATTGGCATCAATTCCGGTGTTCCACAAGGATCAATTTTGGCACCAACATTATTCCTTCTTCATATCAATGATCTGTTGGGAGTGATAACTTGCCC